ACTACAGCGCTAGATAACCTTTATAAGCTAATTCTATAGCTTAGGGTTGCCACTTTATAGTAATTACTATGTTTTTAAAAACGTTATTATTACTTAATTACATAAGCTATAATTCTAAAAATTAATATATAGATGCTAAGTAAACTAGTCTATAAATCTATAAATTTAAATTATAAAAATTATCTTTAATACATTTATAATAAATAAAAAAGAGAGAAAAAAAGAAGAGAAAAATAGTAATTACTATTACTATTACTATTTCTGCTTTTTTTCTCTTTTTTTCTTTATTACTAGGGATACAAATTTATATAGTAGAATCTAATCTTATAGATCTATACTTTAGTATACCTAGTATCTAAGTTTAGGTTTTTAGAATATTAGCTAATGTAATTAAGCTGTTATAGACTTTTTAAAAAAATAGTAATTACTATTTTAGAATAGTAATTACTATAAAAGTGGCAACCCTAAGCTGCTGTAGCATGTTTCTTTAAAAGTTTTATATTTTATTTAAAAGCTTAAAGTGTAAGCTATATCTAATGTTTTTTAAGCATGTTTAAGTAGTATTATTAGAAATGCATTAGTGTAAGAAGAGTAGTTTAGTAGGGTCTTAGTAAAATTAAGTAACTTAGGTGTGTAAGCAACTCACCTGTGAAGTACGTTAGTATAAAAAAAAAGTAAAAAATTTAAAAGATTTATATATTTATATAAAGACACTATATAAACTGCTAATTAGTAGCAGAACTAGTTAAAAGAGTAACACAGATGCGCTCTAGGCTATTAGGCTACACAAAAACATTAAAGACCCCCACACTAACAGTGTTAGAAAAGAAGAAGGAAACAGTGTTAGAAAAGAAGGAGGAAACAGTGTTAGAAAAGAAGGAGGAGAGCAGGGTTGCCGTTTACTATAGTAATAGTAATTACTATAGTAATAGTAATTACTATGCAACCTTTAAGCTCTAGTAATAGTAATTACTATTACTAGGTGTGTATAGTAATAGTAATTACTATTACTAGGTGTGTATGGTAATAGTAATTACTATTACTAGGTGTGTATAGTAATAGTAATTGCTATTACTAGGTGTGTATAGTAATAGTAATTACTATTACTAGGTGTGTATGGTAATAGTAATTACTATTACTAGGTGTGTATAGTAATAGTAATTACTATTACTAGGTAGGTATAGTAATCTAGTAATTACTATTTACTAAAAATACTATAAAAGTATAACATAAGTCTTAATTAGCTATTTAAAATTTTTAGCACTTTTAACTTTATTTTTCTTATTTTACTTAGACTACTATATTTAGATAAACTTAGTAAACTAAGTAAAATAATTTAACTAAATAAACTAATCTAACTAAATAAAGTAAATAATCTAAATAAAGTAAATAACTTAAGTAAACTAAGTAACTTAAATAAACTAAGTAACTTAAATAAACTAAGTAACTTAAATAACTTAAATAAACTAAATAATTTAAATAAACTAAATAACTTAAATATAAAAAATAACTAAAGTAAAAGAAATAACTAAAATAAAGGAAATAACTAAATAAATTATATAACTAAAATAAACTAAATAAATAAAATAAACTAAATAGTTTTTATTTATAGCTTTACTCTATATAACTACGAGTAGTACTATTATAACTAGAGACGCTAGTAGTACTTTTATTTTCTAACTCTTTTAACTCTTCTTTATCTTCTAGATTTATTATTTGTTTTTGTTTTCCTTTAGAACTACTAGGTAAAAAAGTATAATTATAAAAAAGTTGCTTTTTACTATAAGAATAGAAATAGCAATTATAAAAATATCTACTTACTAAATATAGTATAAAATATATATATATATTTTTAACATTAATTTTTTTACTAAAACTAAAATTATAATATAATATAAATAAAGTTAGTAATATTAATAAGTAGAATAACTTTAGTAAAGTAAATATATATGTTAAATAGTATTATATAGCGTTATTATATATTATTATTATATATATTATAGTTGTTTAAATTATAGTAATTACTTGTTAATTTTTTTTTAGCTTTTATAGTTTTTATTTTAATAAAAAAGCTTTATATATTACTAGAGACATAAGAATTATTATATACTATTATAATAATTATTACTTTTACTACTTAAAATCTTTTTCTATAAAATATCTATCCACAGAAATAGTAATTACTACGTACCTCTAGTAATAGTAATTACTATTACTAGAAAAATAGTAATTACTATAGCAATTACTAGGCGCTTCTAGTAATAGTAATAGTAATTACTAAGTGCTTATAGTAATAGTAATTACTATTACTAAAAAGTGGCAACCCTAGTCTATAGTAACTTAAAGTAATGCCTGTAGGTTGCTAAATAAGGCTTTACATAAAGGCTTAATAGTAAACATAGCATGTTCTAGTTCTAGTTATTTTTAATAGGCTTATATAACAGTAGTGTGCAGTAAAACATCCTCTTAAAATTCTGTTCTTAGTGCCTTTTATGTAAGTGTAAGCTTATTAATTATTATTTTAAAAACTTTATGTAAACTTTTATTAAAGTTCTTTTATTAGTATTATGTAAAAGTTATTATTGTCTAGTTTATCTAGTACTAGCTATAGTTTACATTAGTGTTAAAGTAACTGCTTAAGGTGTTGTACAAATGCTTCTAGTTATGTCTAGGGCCTATGTTGTGCATATAGTACATATTTACCTAACCTTTTAAAATATCTAGAAAGATGTTTGTGTACTAAGTTTTCTAGATATCTAGCTATTAATATAGATTAATAAAAATCTTTATTTTATTTATAAAGATGTTATATAGTTAACTTATATAGTTATTATTTTTTTATATGCTTTTTAAAATTATATAATCTTATTTACTAGAAGTTTTTCTTTAGCAGTTTCCCTCTAGGTAGAAGTTTGTACAGGTTATAATGTAGTATAGATTGTGTAGGTAGTATTAGTGTTGCATACACTACTGCAGGCAGTAGTGTGTACAATTAAGGGTGTGGAGCAGGCGTTAGGTAGGGTGGCATGTATTGTTTATACAGTGATTAGTGTAGTGCTAGCTAAAGTATAGGAGCAGGTAATGCTAGTACATTTAGTGTTAATAGCAGCATTATGTTTAGTCTGCTTCTATGTAAAGCTTTATACAGTAATAAAGGTTATGTATAAAGCCTTTTTAGTGTAATTACTTTTTCTTATGCTATATTATACAGCTTCTAGGCTTAGGTACCTTTAGTGCCTAGCTATAGTGTAATTCTCTTATTCTTTAGTACTTATATAAGCTCCCTTTTAAACGCGCAGCTAAGTGCTAAGAAGTCTTATAGTATTTATTTTTTAAAATCTTTTATATATAAACTTAAAAAGGTAGCGCCTTTTTAAGTTGTTATGTGTAAATTAGTAATTATATAACTTATGTATAATTAAGTTTATAAGCTTATTAAAGCCTTTAATATGTTAATTTTATTATTTTAGTACTTTAGGCTAGTTTTGTTTTATAGTGTTACCTCTAATATCTTTATATCCTTTATAAGTTATTTATATAATAAAAATTATTTCTTATTTTTTCTATTATTACATAGAGTTGTTAGTTGCTAGTAAGATTTTATTATAATAGTATAGTTAATTACTTTTTTAGTAGATTACGCAGGTACTGCTATTATCTAGCTACTAAGTTGTGCAGCTTTAATAGCTTTAGTATGCGCCTTACACTATCTCCTTCTTACTTTATATAGTAGCAGAGCTTGCTGTATAATGTAAAGGATTAATCTGCTATTATCTAGCTACTAAGTTATACAGCTTTAGTAGCTTTAGTGTGCGTCTTACACTATCTTCTTCTTACTTTATATAGTAGTAGAGCTTGCTATATAATGTAAAAGATTAATCTGCTATTTTAAAAGATAAGTAACTAAATAAAGTACCTTATAAAGTATAAGTGCTCTATTGTTACTCTTTCTAGAGAATAAGTAACAAAATAAAGTACTTTATAAAGTGTAAGTACTTTATTATTACTTTTACTAATTTATAGTTAATTAAATTAACTACTAATTAGTGTTAAATAGGCTCTAATAGCTAGCTGCTTATAGTATAAGCACTTAAGTAGTAAGAGTAAGAGTAGTGTACAGTGTGCACAGCATATAAGGTAGGTAAGGTAAAAGCAACATGTTTCTAGTTCTATTACTCTTGTCTTTCCTTTGTACAGAGGAAAAGGGGGATATCTAGATGTTTACGCACAGAGGTTTGCGCACAAGCATTATGTGACATAGATACGTGGTCCTGCTTGTGCGCGATCGCTTGTATCTAGATTGTGACGCTGCTGCTGCGTACAGACAATAAAGTAATTAAAAAAGAAGACTTATAAAAATAATAAGCGCATAAAAGATATTAAAGCAGCTATAAAAGCTTTACTTTATAAAAAAAAAAGTAACTTAATAGCTTAAGCTATAGCTCTAAAATAATACTTAGCTTACTAAGAAAACTTAAAAGAAGCATACTGTTAAGAAAACTACTATGTAATAGGAGATAGTTAAGTACTATAAAGTAGTAGATAATAAGGAAGGTGTTATAGGGCTATCTTAGCCTTAGAAGCAACAGCGTTAGCTAGCTTACTTAAAAGACTTTAAAATATATAAGGATTTATAGCCCTGCTTATAACAATTGCTACACTTAAAAATTAACTAAGATATAATTTATATAGAGCTCTAAAGCTTTATTTTTAGGTGATAAGTGGCACAGAGATTTCTGTTGCACGAGCCACTCGGTTGCGTAAGCAGGTGAGACCTTCTAATATTTAGTTTAAAACTAGATGGGAAGCTTTTATAAATTAATCCTAGTTGTTCTTAGTCCCAGATGCACTAGTAACCACTTCAAACAGGGGCACTGGAGGTCGTCAGGGTGGTGCAATGCCGATCCTCTGATGGTGCACATTTGGCGTTTTATCTTCTCGTCTCCCGTAGGGTTGGCCTTGGCGGTGCCCTCTCTGTCCACCAGACCGTCGTAACACTCTTATGCCAACAAAATAGGCTCTCTTGTCCACATCCCTGCCGCAACTAAAAACTGCGCTCCCGCAAACCCTAGAAGTATCCGGATCTGCAAGTTGAACCCTCTAACTATCAACTTCCTCACTTCCTTCTGCAATTCTACAGGTAAATTCTCAATCACGTGTGTCGTCTTAAAGATCCCTTGAACCTCCCCTAGAGTCAGGATCCCTCTGAACTCCCCTCTAAGCCAACTATTCATGACTGCTGTTACAATTGCAATCCCAATGGCCCCGCCGAGGAGCCTGAACTGGGCGACTGCAGCTGTTCCGATAGCTAGGTCGCGCGCTTCGATTGCAAAAGGCATCATCAGCGTCGTGACGCCCATCGCGAGTCCCACTCCCAACCCCGTGATAACTTGGATTCCATACTGCCCTTTCCAATCTGGGTTTCCCGGGTGTAGGGTGGAGAGGAGCACGAGACCTATCGTTTGGAAGGTCGCAGATGCAAACATCAGGTAGAGTGGTGGCAGGCGGCGCTTACTAGCTAGGATGGCGACAAGAGAGGCACCGGTAGGACAAGCGAAGGAGAAGGGGATCAGGCGCAGGCCGGCTTGAAGCGGGGTAAAGTTGTTTACGACTTGGAAGCGGAGGGGAATTTGCACAACGAGGGTCGTGAAGGGGACGCCAACGAGAAAAGAGTTGCTGTGAAATATTATGTTAGCATTGACTAGATGGAGGGAAGGAATGAGCGTAGGTTAACATAATAATGCCCATGATGACCCGACTTCTGCAGAACCTCCAAGGGAAGATGGGCTGTGTATTGTCCCTTCCCTCTGCTTGATCTCTGCCTTCTCTTTTCGTGACAAGCCATTCGTATGTGAAAAAGGCAATGACCAACGGCGCAGAGATCACGAGTGGCGCGAGTACCGTCCTCGAAGTCCATGCAGCAAGTGTGCTAGCTTCTTCCAGACCAGCGACACACAGAGCAACAGCTGCCAAAAGTAGAGCAGCGCCGAGAAAGTCGATGTGATGCATGGAATAGGACATTCTTCTTGGAGAACCACTTTCGCAGGGAAAATTGCTTGGCATTGTGATAAGAAGGAGGATGAGTGCAATAGCGCCGGATGGAACACTATGAGAATAGTTGAGAAGTAGATTATATAAAATGATTGTTGGTGGCTTACTTGAGGAGAAACACCCAAATCCATTTCGTATGAACATTGATAAGACCGCCAAAAATTGGTCCCATAAGTAGTGAAAATGCGAAGATAATAGTCACTAGTACTGTATAGATTGGATATCTGGCTGGTGGCACCATCTCGAACAAGATAACTAGAGTGAGGGAGTACGCTCCTGAGCCTCCTAGTCCTTGGAATGCTCGACATACGATGCTGAAGCACACAATATCATTACTACGCATGGATATAGGGAGAGGGTGACACATACAGTTGGGCCATTGTCTGCACTGCACCACATCCTCCAGAGAAGACGAGGAAGATGAAGATAGCGAGAGAAATCATAGGCTTCCGACCAAAGATGTCACTAAGTTTGGCCCAGATAATCATAAAACCTATTGAATAGCAACATCAGCATCTCCCTCACACTTACCAGCGTATAAGCGGTATATCATACTAGTGTAGGTGATGAGATACGCTGTGACTGCCCAACTACTACTCCCAAAGCTCTTCAAGTCATTCGTAATGGAAACTAAACTCGTGCTAACAATCGTGATTTCGAAGTTGGCGAGGAAGATGCTTAAACATAATCTAACAAGACAATTTAGGATCTGATCCACGACCCCAAGAAGCATACAACTAGAGACGTAAAAAACGCGTTTGAGGGGTATAGTATAAACAGGCCAACGTACGCGAAAGTCACCAAGTGCAGCCTCCAGCCACTGAGATACTGTCGAGTATTCTCTTTCTCATTGATCTCAGGTGTGGTAGGCAGTGCAATGACTTGTAAATCTGCCTCGTCCATTGAATACCTTGTAGAGACTTGGAGGTTGTCTTCTTGCCTAGATTGTAATCCTTCAGCTTCTTGGCTAAAAAAGAGAGGAAAACGAGAAAATATGAAGATGCACGTTGAAGGGAAAAATTATGAGACTAGAAAACTACAGTTGGTCTTTTCACCCCATCTCCTGGCTTAGCGCTGCCCTTTTGCTTGAGTTCATTTAACCTCGTTTCAGGGAGTACATTGGTGCTGCACCAGAAGGCCGAACTATTCCAAGATAGTCGCTAGGCTGGTGCCGTTCGGCCCTTAGAAGAGCGCCGGGAGTATAAGAGGGAAGGTAACACTCCATGTACTACTCTTGGGTTACCGCGGCTCATATGATCTCGACGTGTGGGACTCCTTGCTTGCTAAGGGGCGTTGGTGCACATCGGTATTGTTATACAAGTAGATGTTTGTGCCCCTCACCAACTGGCAGGTCTGACACCCGCTATCCGTGCTTTCAGCATAGCCCTATCGTTTCTGCTGTCAGCGTCTCAGCCACCCACTTGCGAACCAAGAGTATGGTTGCACCACTAACAAAGGAACTGTGTACACCCCATCTGTGGCTGTCGTGTCGGGTTTCCTTAAAAGGTCGTATAGCGTCTTCTCGTTCCTACTGGCACGGTTCCTAGCCCGGACCCCAGTCTTGTCCATAGAGAATGTACAACCCTCTCACTCATAGCAATTAACGTCAACCCGGTCTCCGACATGTTACCTAACGTCGGCGCACATGTGTGGACCTTGCTAATATGTGTTAGTTGACATGCCGTCTTTGGTTAAAGATCTATTGTGCCTCACAAACTTTACAGTATGTGCAGTTGCATTAATAAAGTTTTTCTAAAAGGGCTTGCCTAGGGATAAGGAGTTCGGAATAGCCCGTGCTTGAGTGAATTTATTTAAAATAGACAAAGAATCTAGCGTCGCGATCTGCAGTTCCGCTGCTAGTATTAAGGTTTAGAGCAGGGTTGCCACTTTTTAACTATTACTAAAGGTACTTAGTAATTACTATTTCTATAAATAGATATTTTATAAAAAAAGATTTAAAGTAGTAAAAATAATAATAATTTATTATTTAAAGAAGAATTAAACTTAGAATTAAATACTTTATGTAACAGCGCGTACCGCGTCACATGCTCTGCGGCATCAGCTCCCTCGCTTGCGCAACGAGTAGCACCTTAGTGCTATAAGTAGCGCCTTAGCAGGGGGCATACATGTATATTTAAACTCGCAGAGCAGCTCCTCTACTCCTTAGTTTAATCTAGTTGGGTTACACCACCTCTTGCTTGTAGCTTGAGCATGCCGATCGTGACACTTTACCTAGTAGTTCTAAAGGAAAACAAAAACAAAAAATAAATATAGAAGATAAAGAAGATAAAGGTACTACTAGCGTCTCTAGTTATAATAGTACTAATAGTAATAATTGTAACAATTCTTACAAATTGTTCCATCTCAGATCGCTTAGAACCTATCTAAAGAGTTCCTATATCAGCCCTAACTATAACTTAACCCTGTCCCCTGCAGTTACCTCTATTTCTCTAAGTATTTAGTTGCACCTCTTCTCTTAGCTAGCTTAGTAGTTTTCTAATATTCTTTGTACAAGGCCTATAGGTGTTAATTAAATTTCTAGGTTATTAAGTTCCTACGCACTTCTATATGCCTCTAAGTAGATTTCTACTGAATTTAGACTTATTATCTTACCTGCGCTATTATATTAAAAAACTTACTTTTACTAGTAACAGCCTTATTAATAATATTATATTATTTATTTATTTAACTATATTTAACTTTAAAAAGTGTTTAATTTAGTTTAAGTTCTAATTTTTATATACTATTATATTAAATTATTTAGTTAATGTACTTTACAGGCAAGTTGCTTACACACCTACGTTACTTACTTTTACTAAGACCCTACTAAACTACTTTTTTTACACTAATGCATTTCTAATAACACTACTTAGATGTGCTAAAAGAATGTTAGATATAGCTTACACTCTAAGCTTTTAAATAAAATATAAAACTTTTAAAGAAACATGCTACAGCTATGTATAAAGTCTTTTAAAAGATAATAAATAACTATAGCACTAGATAACCTTTATAAGCTAATTTTATAGCTAACTTATAAAGGCTAGGTAATAATAAAAAGCAGGTAATTATTGAGACTATACTTAAGCTATATGCGTAAGAATTTTCTCTTTAGATAGCATTTATAGCTAATATAGCTAATTCTTTACACACTAAGTGTAATCTAGGCTATGTTAGCATAAACTAGCCTAGTATATTTGTAAAGCGTTATTTAAAGCTTAAAGTAAAGTTTTAAGTGTAAGTATAGTTAATAAATATTTAGCTTATAATAAAGCCTATCTTACTAAAGTTATATGTGTTATTATTTTAAATGCTATACTTAGCTTTAATATTTTCTATAAGGCTAAACCTGCTCTAAATTACTTTAAAACTCTTATAAAAAGCTTTTTTATAGTTATACTACACGTAAATATTACTTTAAGCTCTAAATAACGCTTCCTAAACATACTAGGCTAGTTTATGCTAATATAGCCTAGATTATACTTAGCGCGTAAAAAATTAGCTATAAATGCTATAAATGTTATCTAAAAGAAAAATCTTTACACGTATAGCTTAAGTATAGTCTTAATAATTACCTGCTTTTTATTATTACCTAGCCTTTATAAGTTAGCTATAAAATTAGCTTATAAAGGTTATCTAGTGCTGTAGTTATTTATTGTCTTTTAAGAGACTTTATACATAGCTATAGCATGTTTTTTAAGAGTTTTATGTCTTACTTAAAAGCTTAGAGTGTAAGCTATATCTAACATTCTTTTAGTGTGTCTAAGTAGTGTTGTTAGAAATGCATTAGTATAAAAAAAGTAGTTTAGTAGAGTCTTAGTAAAAGTAAGTAACTTAGGTGTGTAAGCAACTTGCCTGTAAAGTACGTTATTGTAAATAAAAATTTAAAAACTTTTTATAAACTAAAGTCTTTAAGTTTAAAACTTTTTAATTTTTTATAATTAAAATTGTAACAATTCTTACAAATTGTTCCATCTTAGGTTGCTTAGAACCTGTTACAACCCACAATTGGACCGTAAGCAACTAGTTAGCTGTCCCCCACTGTTTGAACAATTAAGGATAGAAAGTCCTTAACTCCTTGCCTAATAAGTCACGTGACTTAACAGACAAGGAATAGACTAAGTTATTAGACTAATGTGTGGCGGAGTGCATTATCTAATAAGCGTAAGGCGTTTAGACGCAGATGAGCGCTAATGCGCGCAACAGAAGGCTGCTGCGCTAGGCGCTTATTAACGCTTAACTACACGCAACCTAATAGATATAGTCTAAGATCCTAACTTTACTTAAAAGCTATAATTAATAGTTAGTTTATTCTTTACATGGACTAAGTAGTATTACTACTTTTTAATAAGAAGTAATTTAATTATATATCTTACACTATATATACCTTCTCTTTTATTCTACCTAAGGAACTGTTTAATCTAAGCGCCTTATACTGCTGTTGTAGGGCAAACTATAGTTAGCTGCCCCTCCTTGTCCTAGTAACTACGCCCTAATAGACTATACACTTGCTTAAGGTTAGGTTCTCTCCCCTCTGCACTTCTAATCTCTCTTACAGGCCTAGAGTTCTTTAGACACTATTTCTCTAAAGTTAAGATTATAACATTAATTACTACTCTTTAATAAAGTATAAATTCTTATAACGTACCAAATAGGTTAGCCAGCCACTTTTGCTAAGCCTCTACTACACTCTACCTATCTATATAATGCCTTAACAACAACACTAGATTAAATCTTCTAAAGAATATTAGATACAGCTTACTTTTTAAGCCCTTAAATAAGACTTAAAACTTTTCTTATAACACGCTACAGCTATTTATAATGTCTTTTATATAATACTAAGTAATTAACACGCTAGACAGCCTTTATAAGTAAAATGCTAGCCTAAATTAAGAAATTTAACTAAGCTTAAAAAAAAGGTAGTTGTTAAGTACATACTTAAGCTTATTACACGCAGATTTCCTTTTAGGCTTATAGCTATAGCTAATATAGCTAATTTCTTACGCGCAAAGTATAATCTAGGCTAGGTTAGCTTAAACTAGCCTAGTATGTAAGTTAAGCACTACTTTAAGTTTATAATAAAGTTTAATTATAAGTATAATTATAAAAAAGTGCTTTATAAAGATCTAGAGGTTATCTAGAGCTAGTTTTACCTAGTAGCTAATATAAAAGCTAAGTATAGTATTTAAAATAAAGACATGTATAACTTTAATAAGTTAAGCTTTATAATAGGCTAGATATTAACTAAAGTAGTTATTATAGCTTTAAAAAAATAAAGACAGCTAAAAGTAATATAGTAAAGCAAGGTTGCTACTTTTTAGTAATAGTAATTACTTAGACTAAGTGCTAGTAATTACTATTACTAGAAGCGCCTAGTAATTGCTATAGTAATTACTATTTTTTGTAACGGCGCAGGCAAGACAATGGGTCCGAATGCGGTATGAATCCACTCAGAGGCATATAGGAGTGCGTGGGGACTTAGAGACCTGGGAATACTAATGACACCTATAGGCCTTGTACGTAGGATATTAGAAAACTACTAAGCTAGCTACAGGGGCAAGGTGCAACTAAATACTTAAGGGAATAGGGGTAACAGCAGGGGACTAGGTTGAGTTATAGTTAGGGCTGATACAGGGACCCTTTAGATAGGATCTAAGCAACCTAAGATAGAATAATTTGTAGAATTATTACACTACCTCCCTCTCTATAGGCTAATAGTCTCTATCTGCAGTGTGT